ATTAGTTAAGGTTACAAATTAAGGCAGATAAAAAAAAGGGGTTGGTCCTGGGGGTTGGAACACCCTTTTTTGACGATTAATGCTTTTGAATGGGGACATATGGTTTGAAACACCCCTTTTATCCTGGGTTGAGAACCCTCTTTTTAAAAATGGCTGGAAAAGCCACTCTTTAAAATGTAGCAATTTATAAATATTTTTTTTTTATCTTAATATAATATTAAGTAGAATTTTAAAAATCGATGAGTTTTATAATTTGACAAAACTCATTGATATTGGAAAAACACTAAACGATATACGACAATTAATTTATTCAAGACATGGAATGTTTAGTAAAATTGTCGAACAATCAACACGGAAAGCGAGATATCTAAAATTTATATACCCTTATATATTTTCATTATCATACATCAATTTTAAATGCAATTCCAAATAAAATGGCTTTGAAAATCGTGTATTAAGCGCTTATCGTTCATTCGTCAATGAATCATTCACCGTGCGTGTATCGTGCGTGTATCATTCATAATTCATCGTGCGTGTATTGTGTGTTCATCATTCATCGTGCGTGTATTGTGTGTTCATCATTCATCGTGCATCGTGCGTGTATCGTGCGATCATCATTCATCATTCATTTTTCGTTAATCCTCCGTGTAACGCTCATCGCTCATCGTGCGTGTATCGTGCATTCATCGTGCATTCACCGTGCGTGTACCGTGAAAGCGTGTATCGTGCGTGTGGTCAGTTTGAATTGTTGAAGGTCTGTATCTATTGATGTAAGCCCTTTTTGATTTTCATAAATTTCTAACATGACATTGAGAAGTAATTGAACTTTATTCTTTGAAAATGTGACAGGCGTATCATGCGCTTATAACGCAGCTGTTTATTGAAGGTGGCATGCATATGGTTGCCTATAATTTCTTACATACATTTTATTTGAATTTAAGGGAATAGTTGTTATTTATATAAACAAATCCTACGTCGATATATTACATGTACAACAATCAGACACCAACCCACGCCAAACTGGACGTAATTGAAAGACATCTAGAGGTCAATATACAGTCTCGAACAATAGACAAAATAAGGAAAAATATAGCGAATTTTGGAGAAGAATTATTATTACATGTATTCGCAAGATTTAAAATATATCGTTTAAAATTTTTTGAGCTTTAAGTTCCACCTACCATTTTAGAAAACTGGGATTTCAGGGCGGCTAGTCTAGAAGAGGGGTATTTCATGGGTTGTAGATATGGAATCTTATTTCATTATGAAGTCAGATTTGAACATCAACTTGAGGAATGAAGGTCAAGTAAAGACCGAATGTCAGTTTTAGTCTTATATATGTACGTCAATTTTAGTCTTATATATGTATACACATATTATTGATTCAGTGGTGATGGTAAATAGACACTGACAAGTCTTAGATAACATTTTATAGTTTTGAATGTTTCTTCATCAGTTAACTAAAATTAGGTGGAGGTATGTTCTTATTTCCGACAGAGGGTGGCAATCAACCTATATCAATTTGTGCACGAAACGATTGATACTTGCTAGATACTGAATTATTTTACCACAAATTTGTTTTAACCGGTGTATATACTTTAATTACGATAATAAAATTCATGTCTTTTTCATGACTTCTGATCCAACCATGTAGTATGGCGTGTTTGTGAGATATGGGTTTGGCCGATGGATATTCATGAAGGACCTGTAGTACAAAGTATATCACTGGATTGAGCTCTTTGTTTAAGTTTATTTCTTTGAGTTCAATTCATTGTTATGCAATTCATTCTTTGTGAAATAAAGATTTGACAGACAATTCTCGTGTACAAGGAATTGTCAAAGTAGTATCCATTCAATGTACAATGTAAGAAGTATCAAATAGGGAGATAAAAGCATTTTATTTAGATTTGAATCAAACATTTTTTGTCCATTAGCCAAATTTAAAAAAAGCACAAATTTACCAAACAATGCTACTCGTGCTACTAGCAATGTGATGCTAGGTTGTTTTGTTACACTTTATTTTTATGCATCTGTACTGCCCACTGACGACTCAGTCCCGAATGTAAATGGTCATTCAGTATGTTAAAAAAAGAGACCAAAATTCATAAGGCCTATCTGGTCTAATTGATTTCTAAAATTGTATTTCATTGTACATGTTCAACATTTATCATTCATTTGTTTATTTCTTAATTTGTGTGAATTAACAGTAATTGTTAATTACAACACTTTCATGCCACAACAAAACTGCCTTACTGTAATGGTATCACTTATATTTGTATCCATATAACATGTATAACGAAAAAAATTGAAAAGAGAATAATTTTGCAATACCTTTTTCATATTGAATATTATAACTTTTTAGATATTTAGACATATTAAGTAGATGTTCATATCCACTTGAAATTCTATCAGATGACTTCTGTAGTAGCTATGAGTCTTTGAAGCATGCTCACAAAGATTCTTTTGTTGATATCATTTTCATATTGGTTAAAACTTTTTTTTGCTTTGACTAGCTTTGGAGTAGATATTTTCGAAGAATTAATAAAAATAACACAGATGTTTACCTTCTAGCTCATCTAGCCCCAAGCATCATGTCGGGCATTGTCATTACTAAAAACCATTAAATGTCTTCTAATCTGAGAAACAGTTTCGACATTTAAACGAAATCTTTAACTAATGATACTGACGATCCACCACAAAGTAACATATATAGAACCATACAAAAAGTAAGCAAATACATGTTCTCAGATACCATCTCCCATATAAAAAAATCACATCATGAACAAATCAACCTAATATGTGTTCCTCTCCAAGTTACAAAATGTATCCAAAATCAAAGATGTGGAACATATTCTATCATAATCATTTGGTAAAAAATGCAATTAGTGTCTCTTCCATGCCAGTCTTGAACAAAAAACAAACTAAATATTAAATAAACAACACTCCTAATACTCAGGTTGACTGTCATTGTGCAACAGAGTTAATAATATAGAACCCTATGGGCAAAACATAGAACCCCATTTGTCATAAAACACTGTCAAACGTCCAAACATACTATCCACACTGCTCTGTGTCCACACTTGTACTATCAGAAAATAAAGGTTTGCGAAAAAGACAAATAATTATGAAGACTAATCTGATATACGGAAACTTACATAAAATATTTACAAAAATAAAAGTATGATTTTTCATCAGAAAATCATAATACATAAACAATCTTTTGTTAAGTATAAATTTATATAGATGTGATAAAATGTTTTTAAATATCAATATCTATGTATTCTTATCAAATGTAATTTTAATCTTAATCATAGCTCTGATGAACTTGCAAAAAAGGCTAGAAAAGTAGAAAAGTAATGTTTATCATTAAATCATATTAAGGTTCCTTAAAGAGTTCTAGTATACATGTTTAAGTGTTAGTTTAATTAACACCATGGTACATGCTAGCAACCTACAAATCAGAAATCACTATTAGGCTACTTTCATGGATAGATATGAATCTCTATATCCCACAGATCAACTATCATCTTGATTTTACGGATCAATTATATCTTGTTTTGAAACAAACATTACTTATCTTTAACAACAGATATTCTAGTACATCAAGTAACACGAAAACATGCATCAACTTTGGCAGTGAAGAAATAAATAAATTATTGCTATCCTAGAAATGAAAATAAAGATCCAAAGTTAATTATATCATGTAAGTATTATATTGACTTTCATTTTACTTCCCCGACTATATTTCAAGACATAAATACTAGTAATATTTAGGGCCCTTTATAGCTTGCTGTTCGGTGTGAGCCAATGCTACGTGTTGAATTCCGTACCTTGACCTATAATGGTTTACTTTTATAAATTGTAACTTGGATGGAGAGTTGTCTCATTGGCACTCATACCACATCTTCCTATATCTATATAAAGACAATCGATGAATGCTCTATTATATGAGACATTCATGCTATCAAAGAATCTACAAATGTATGTAAAATAAAACACGTTGCAAAGGAAGCTCATGGATTGCAAAAACATACACCAAAATAAAACACTACAAACTGAAATAATTCATATTAAGTAAAATTCCTTAAATGTTTTGAAAAATCGTGATAACAAATATTCGAGAAAATAGATAATGAATTATAGTAAACTTCTAATATATAAAACATTGAAACGTAAATTTTTCTACAAAAAAGTCTGATGTGGAACGAATTTTCTTACCGATTTATTTTACTATAAGAATTTTAGAAGATGTTGTAAAAAAAAAATTCAGTTGTCGTTATAGTGATCAATATGAGCCATATGCATAATAGCAATATTTGTGGTCTGGTGGACTATTACAGTGATTCGTAAATATTAAGAACCTACTTGCACTTATGTATACAAAAACAAATGCCAACAAAACATGTAACAATTTAATATCAAGGAACCTTGATATCACAATGTTAACACAGCATTAAAACACTTTAACTTATTAATTAACAATGAGAAAGTCAGCGTCTCTAACACAAGTCTGTGTATAATTATGTATGTTTGCAATGTTTTATAATTATAGAACAACTCCGTGTGTTTTAAGGAACGTAACTCCATTACTAACTATTTTAAATATTACACACCCACTGACCGTGTATTTTAACCAATGACATTCCTAGAATTGTATAGGAGTAAGATAGGTAACGTTCCTAAGACTAATAGTTTCCGATTTATGACCACTTACAATATGCCTGGAATCTTCTAAGGGAATTATATCCCTTATAAAGAGTGCAGCTCGAAATTCCAAATGTTTTCCATTATTCTCTTTTTTCTAACTAATACAATTTCCGAGGTCATTCCAAGAAAATTTCTAAAGTGAAGGAGACCGTGACCGTTACTTTTGTGAACATCTGGTGTCAAGTAGACCAATGATGAAGACCTTAAGTACCTTCGATTTCGGGTGTTGATATGTTTTGAAGATATCTAAAATACAGCAGTATTATCTGCCATTTATTAATGTTAAAACTTACCTGATATGCCTCGGTACTGCTAAATAAAGATCTATCTGTTGTGTCTAACCCGGTTATAAGGTGAATGCGGTGCGTTACTCTTCTTGCAACTGAATCTGTCGACCAAACCCATCCACTAATAATTCATAATCAAATATTCAGTACTTAATAATGAATTTTCTTTTAGTGGGAAAACTTACAAAACTGTCATTTTTCACATTTTGAGCATGCATTACATGTAAGAAATTACGTTGGTGCATGTATTTGGAATTTTATAAGTACATGTATTAAAGTCGTATGAAACTTCAAATCAAAAAAAAAGTTGAATATGTTTTATATACTTGAATGGCTAAATTTACTATAAAACAAGTATGCGCGAACTTTCTTGTAAAAGAAAATCCTTTGTATTATCAAAATCTTCATAAATATACGGCAATTGAATTATTGTTTTCCCGTATACTAATTCGCCGACATTTTCCCGTATGCAGTGACCTTAACTGCGAGACCTCTCGTTGTAACTTCGGCCACCACACAGCGCAAGTGCGAGGGGGGAAACCGTGATGAAGTTGGAAGGTAATACTAATAGCTGATTTTTAAAGAACACATTGAATACATTATATCAATCAACAAGTGCTAAGGAACAGTTTAATTAACAAATGGGAACACATGGAAAATATAATTAAAGTATATAATGGATCTTTTAAGTCATTTATTTGTCACGTTTTCCACGTGCTTTGTGTTGATTGTTTATCAATGTCACAATCCGGTAAACTTCGGCAACAAACTCGAAAGTTAAGTAGCTTTTGATCAACAATCACTGAATGAAATAGTATTTGTCGTTTATACGTTAACGATTCGTAATAAATGTAAAACAAAACATACATACAGGACTTTGTTTAGTATGTATGCATGCATTGGTTCATTAATGTCGATACCATTAGAAGTAAAGGTAGGAAAAACTGACAATCCTTGTCAATTAAGATTGGAGTCTAGCGCACCTGGCACGTTCGGGGTTTGTACTCACAACCTCAGTGTTGATAGGCTAGTGATACAGTAGTTGAACTACTTAGACCATTCGGCCACCGAAGCCCCTCAAGTGAATGAATGCATGAAGATAGCTGAAAATGGTAAATTCGAGTATTTATAGAAAATGTGCATAGAGTTGACAGTTCTGCCCCACAAGTTTAAGGGAAATCTTAGGCTAGCCAGTTCAGTAAAAGTTAGAAATAAAATTAAAAGGAACACCTAAACATGGATCGTGATGTTTGACCTTTGATCCCTTTAAATTATCAGTCCAGTTAAAAAGAGAAACTGGTCAAACCGGAGTATGGTTAAACGTTGATATAAGAAAAGAGATTTACATGTACCTGAAAAGTAGTGAAACAAAATTGAAAGTGTAGAAAATGATGACCATACCAGAAAGAGAGCAGAAGCTCACAGAAAGGTTCGACTGAAATTCGACCAAACAAATTTTCAAGTTGACAGAAGTTACAACCATCAACTCTTATAGAATTTGTATATAAAGAAGTGCAACGGAAAATATGAATCATGTAAAATTTTAGTCCTGGGTCGGGAAGGAGAAGGGATTAAGGCCTGAGCGTGGGACAAAATAAAACAAACAATTAGATTGAATGTCAAAGACGAGGGGGAACAAATTCAAAGTAACAACCATGGGATTAATATATCTAAGAATACTGGACTTAAGTAATTTCACTTTAAATTGACCCGAAACCATGTTAAAATAGAACCCAATAACTGACATCATTTCTTTCCAAGGGAATTTTATGTCTTGGAAAAAAAAACTTGTGCAGGTGTATTAGCTTTGAGTTGTGGATGAAGTAATTTTTTCACTAAATGTAGTTGAATCATAGTAAAAATTTAACCATTTAACAACACCAACGAACTTATATTCATTAATACATGTTTCCTATTCTCTAATGCACTGCTCTTTTTATTTTTCATTTGAAATCGGTATGTTCTTTGTATTCGTATAGTATTTGATTTTTAATTTATTTGTTACTAACATGCCTTGATATTAATGTAAATGCTCTACTACCTATTTAATTGATTGTGGCTAATGAACTTAAAGGTATACACGAAATAACTCATATTCCACATAATGAATTTATATTCATTAATACATGTTTCCTATTCTCTCATGCACTGCTCTTTTTATTTTTCATTTGAAATCGGTATGTTCTTTGTATTCGTATAGTATTTGATTTTTAATTTATTTGTTACTAACATGCCTTGATATTAATGTAAATGCTCTACTACCTATTTAATTGATTGTGGCTAATGAACTTTAAGGTATACACGAAATAACTCATATTCTGTTACAGCTGTGATAAGAGTGCTTGTAGTTAATATGATGAACAGCGATTTAAATGACCTTATATATTTTGCTACATTTTTAGAAAACTCGATCGTACTTTTGTATTCCAAGGTCCAACCCCTGTTCAGCGGATTTAATTTTAGATTCTAGATACAATTGCTTTCCGGAATCAATGTTGTCCAAATATTTACTATCTAGAGAAACGTTTTTGAAAGGACTATTTGGATATAAATTTATTCTAGTTACTTGATAGAATTGTCTACCATTAATAGAGTCCAGACCTAACAGTTTTTATTGATGGCATCCCCTCCCAATACACTTAAGACACCAAGTCCCAAAGTAGGTAAAACATTTTGAAAACATTGGTATTGCAGCAGACGCGAGACCCGCTTGCATGGGTAAAAATCCATCTTCCTTTTTTAACTGTTTTGAACTGAGATTTAATACCAGACAAATTGCAATGTGATTAACGGAAACTAGTTGGATAACTTTTTTTAGCGGCTCCTGCATACGAAGTATATATCTCCCAGTTGATACGATATTCCAGGGCTTGTATTTCCTTTGATGATTTCCTTAATAGAGGGTTGTTGCTCAAAAGTAAGCTATTAAACCAAGAGTTCTAAGTGGTGAAGTTGAAATCATCCCTTCGTCAATTTTACGGACGCCATCATAAGTTGGTTGATCGTTATGGAATATCCGTTTCACAGATGACGACGGATATGTTCCAATGGTCATAACTACAATCCCGATCCCTTTTCCCCTAATATGACCTACCGAATTAGATTTATAACCGGGTTTGTACTAACATGAACAACACGACGGCTGCCACATGAGGAGCAGGATTTGCCTTCACTTCCGGAGCACATGAGATCACCCCCAGATTTTGGTGGGGTTCGTGTTGCTCAGTCTTTGGTTGTCTATGTTGTGTTTTGTGTACTGTAGTTTGTCTGTTTGTCTCTTTCTTTTTTTACCATGGCGGTGTCAGTTTATTTTCGACTTGTGAGTTTGAATGTCCCTTTGGTATTCTTAGCCTCTCTTTTAGCATCATACAGTGAAATGTTCACCCTCTGAGATCGATAGGATATCCATCTTATAAATGAGTGATCATGCGCCTGATAGTTTTAAACGTGACTGATAAACAAACAAAGTTTCGTGATATTGAAAAATTGTCATATCAGGTGAAACAACTGGAAAGAAAATGTAGGTATTTTTAAATGCAAATTTGTATTTAGTTTTGTTTGACGCCCAATTGACAGATCTATTTGATTGTCCCCTTACTAAAAGAACACAGAAGTGAAAATTTCACTTCTTTACAGGTAAATTGTTTTGATCCATTTACATAACTACCACTGATGATTTCACTGTTGACTACAATGCTGTTTAGACTGATATTGTTTGTAGCCGTCTGTTGTATTGTTGTATATGTGTTGGTTCGTTTTTCAAATCTCACCAATGTGTTGATAATGTTGTTTACATTAAAGTCTACGAGAAAGCTTTTTGATAAGGTTAGAGTCACGGTTAGAGTTTTGAGATTGGCACCAATGATGATCTTCGTTGATGTTTTTCTTTTCAGTTGTAGATGTTGTTAAATGTTCTTGTTGATTTCTCAGTACTTTAGTGTAAAATGAAAAGATGATCAAATCCTTACTTTCGTCCTGCGAATTGTTGATGCTGTTATTTTGCACAGGAATGTTTGGGAAAGTGGGAAAGAGAAGTTAGTCACCAGGTTTTACTAGAGCCATCTCATAACGTTTGCTGTCTTTCAAGTTGATAGATGGATTGAAACGAGTATTGATCTGGCTATTGTTTCTTGAGACGACAAATGAAAACCCTGGTTGAGGGTCTGTATTGTAAGCAGTCTTTTTGTAATTAACTGTCCATTTGATTCAAACCTCTGAACTCTGTCAGAGATCACAAGTGCACATGCTCTGGTGTTTGCAGGAGCATTGCGCTCAGATTCAGCTCTGTTTTGAATATCAACCATGGATTCCCTAAACTTTTCAGACTATTTACTAATATCAACAACAGATAGAGGATACAACTCTATAAAGTTTGAAAGGTTACTATTTCTATTGCTAATGAGTTATTTCATATTATAAAAACTTTGCGAAAGTCAGATGCGTCTTTGTATAATCTAGACACCTTACATTGAGTAAAGGCAGCATTAAAATACAACTGGATAGCGATGTGCATTGAGAGCAGCATGTATTTTTTCTCAGTCTACAGTTACCATAAGTTGCATAATAAACGAGATGTAAAAGATACCAAAGAGATATGCAAACTCATAAGTCGATGACAAATTGACAACGCCATGGCCAAAAATGAGAAACGGCTAAAAGTCATAAATAAAGGCAACAGTAGTATACCGCTGTTCGAAATTCATAAATCGATTGAGAAAAAACAAATCCGGGTTACAAACTAAAACTGAGGGAAGCACATCAAATATAAGAGGAGAACAAAGACACCACAGAAACACTAAAATGCAACACACACAGAAATGAACTATAAGATAACAATAGCCATTTTCCTGACTTGGTCGGTTGAACCTGGTTTTGTGGCTAGCCAAACCTCCCGCTTTAATGGCAATGTTAAATATAACACTAAAATGACAACATTACCTGATAGGACTACAATACAAATAAATGGAAGAACATACAGGACAGAGAATCACACACAAATAAACAAAACATTAGAACATTACGACAAGCTAATAGAACACAGCATGAAAAACTAAAGACTGAGCAACACAAACCCCACCAAAAATCGGGGGTGATCTCAGATGCTCTAAACGGAAACCAGATCCTGCTCCTCATGTGTTATTAGTCGTGTTGCTCAGGTAACAATACACCGTTAGGACAAAACAAAAGAAATTGGCAGTCATTATATTTAACTACAGCTTTCTAACAAATTAAGCTTGCTGTTTGTGTCATGTATGTACATATGTATGGAAACTGCATCTTCCATAGATTTGATTACCAATAGTTAAAATGGTGAAATATAACCTTTTAGTTGTAACAATGGCAATAATCTGATTTATTATATACAAAATATTGCAAAAAGGGGGGTTAAAATGTCACTAGTGTACCCAAATTTAGTCTAAGGTAAAATTTCAATCCATTTGATTGATAACTTGTCTGAA